CCTGGGGTCTCGGAGACGCTTGGTGGCTGCCCTGTTTCCCAAGCCCCACGTGCCAGCGCCCGCCACTTGCAGATCATTTGCTCTGCAGATGTTAGGGAGCGCCTAGTATGTGCCAGGCGCCCAGGACACAGGGCGCGCGGGCCGGGACACACCAAGGCCCCCAAACTGTTCCCGCGTTCAGCAAGTGGGCTCCAGGCGCCCACTGCCTGCCAGGTACTGCACCGGCTCTGTCCCATGGCAGAGCAACTTAGCAGAAAGACAGACAACCAACAAACGCCCTGGGAACGTGGAGGGCGGGGCGGGGGTGGGCTGGGGGAGAACAAAGGGAGCGCAAAGCACCCCTAATCTCACACCCGGACGACCCCGGCATGCCGAGGGGTTGTTCCTTAACAGCTGTGCAGCCTTAGGTCTTTCCTTTGGAATGCCTTCCCTCCAGCTCACATCTGTACCCACCCTCTGCTCCCTGATCTCCTCACCGCACTCTTTCTCTCTGCAGCTTTGCGCCAGTTCCAGGCAGAACAATGCAGACCCATGCCAAGGGGAAATGAGAATGCCTGGCTTCCTGTGCCAGGCTGGGGCCCTCTTAGCCCCAGGTAGGCAGCTCGCTTGCTCTTGAATTTTCCAGGCTAGGAAAATCACTCTTCAGTTTTTCAGGACGCCATATGGCATGACTGTGATACTTTTACTCATGCCAACGAGAACTGTCTACTGGGTTCTAGACCTCCACGGAGAGGTCCAGCCACAAACGTGCACCCCATCTCCGACCCTAGGGTCCCCCTTGACAAAGTAGGCATTGCCACACCAGACCTGCTGGCTCCCTGTTTTGGGATGCCCAGATTTTCCCCAATGGCCAGGATCTCTGCTTTCCCCTGTCCCTTAAGGACCACAAGTTGTTGAAAAGCAGATGTGTCTTTCAGCCTCTTTAATAAATGCAGTAAGGAGAGCTGGGACAAAGTTTCAGACTGTGGGGCTCCCTCATGCCAAAGCATTCAGACAAACTGCAGGGGAAAAAAAATTAGAAAAGATGAGGCAATTATCCGAATGTCAAACAGCTGAATATTTAAAAAAACAAATCTCTGACTGACTTCTAAAGCCTTTTTTTAAAACACATGTTTTCATGTTTGAGAAACATCCTGGAACAGAAAACACAAAAGGAATCAACCTTCCCCCCCCCTTTTTTTTAACTTTTAAAAAACTGTTAAAATTGGATTCACAGTAAAATAAGTGGAAACAGTAGCAAGTGGCAGACTGGTGGAAAGTTTCCTTCCAGTCTCCATGCCAACCAGAGCACGGAGCACTGCTGGGTAAATGCAAAAACCAGTCCACGGAGACTTCAACATTCCTGCATTTTTTTAAAAATAATGGTCTATTTCATATTTTCTACTATTAAATTAAATGCCAGGTTGGGTATTCCCTGCTTCTCCAAGCCTAGAAAATAGGCTCTGTCTACATAGGAAAAAACCAATTTCAAAGTGGCTGGTTTCTTACAGGGCTGTTGGGACAACCATCTTCATAAGGCTGTTTTGAAATAAGGTTGGAAATACTTAAAAACAGGGTTGGTTTGTTTTAATGTTGCTGCTTTGTGGACTCTTCTCTGCCCTCTTCCCTTTCTGGGCTGGGGATCAAACCCAGGGCTCTGCACATGCTAGGCCAGGGCCCTCACACTGCGCCACATCCCCAGCCACCCTCTGGGACTTTTAATTGTTTTATTGCTGTACAGAAGCAGTGAAGGCTCTTGATACAATGCTTTGAATTGGTGGCCGAGTCAGAAAATTGAATCTGACTTCAATTCTTACAAATGGAAAGATGAAAGAACGAGTTTGGATTAGTCCATAAAATAACCTAGGAAGACAGATCTACCAACAATGAAATAAAAATTGAAGAGTCGCTTTCTGTTCTGTTCTATTACCTTGAATGGTTGATGCCCCCCTCCCCCCCCCCGCCCCATCACGGAGCCCAGGAGAGCCTGCAGGAGGACCAAACCTATCTGTTTGGGAGTATAGACCTGCATCCCCACGGTGGCTGAGGCTTTGATGAACTGAAGGCGTGATCCAGCAGGGTATGTACTCATGAGTCAGGTGGACCTGGACAGGAAATCTCTGTGACCACTGGGCAAGCCCCTTGACCTCTTTCAGCCTCTGTTTTCTCCCCTGTAAAAGGACAAAAAAATACTAGTCTCATGGGTTATAGTCATGGGGGTTTAAGGGAACAACCTTCATTGGGGGTTTAAGGGAACAACACCTGTAAAATACTAAGCACAGTACCTGGACTAGACGGGGAGCCCTGTTAGGGTTACCTCTTAGTGAATTTTACTACTAGGTCTCTGCTGGAAATTTTAACCAACACTGATATAGGTCTTTTCCAGTTTGCTCACCCAATTAGATGCGCACTCCTGATTAGGACTCGTGTCTAATTTCCTGAGAAAGCCTCTTGCACACAGCTTAGAGATACACATACAGCCAGCCCTCAGGAAATAACTGGTGGTCCATAGGAATATATTATTCTGCAGCGGGAAGTCTGGAGACAGGTTGCAAGCAGACAATGCACAGTGTAGACATTTAATTCACACAAATCCACTAAATGTCATGGGAGAGAAAGACACTGGACCTGGTGCAGGTGAACTGCCCGCCACTGTGTTCAAAGGACGCATGACTGAAACGAGCTGAGCCGGCAGACAAACCCGTCTCAGCCAGCCACTCGGCAGCCCTGGTTGGTGAAGACTGCATTTTAACATGATGGACAATGTAGGTGGTATAGTAGGTTAAGCTGTGTCCCTCACAAAACTATTTTCAGCTCCTAGCCCTTGTCACCTGTGAATGCAACTTGATGTGGAAGGAGGTAGATGTGATCAAAGGTGAAGGTGGAGGTGGGACTGGATTTGAGTGTGTGGTCCAATGACTCAGGTGTCATTATTAGAGGAAAAGGAGGTTTGGGTGGAGTTGCAGGGGAGACCCACAGAAGGGAAGGCCACCTGAAATTGGAGGCAGACATCAGAGGGACACATCTACAAACCCAGGAGCACCGGCATTGCCAGCTACTATCAGATCCTGGAAGAGGCAAGGACAGACTTGTCCCCGGTGTCTTGGTGAGGAATGTGGCCCTACTGCTGGACTTGTAGCCCCTAGGATCATGAAAGAGTACACTTCGGATGTTGAGAGCACCCAGTTCTGGTAAATTCTCCGGCAGCTCCAGGAAGCTCCCACAGGTAGGCAGAGCTGGAAGGCACTTCTGCTTTCAGTGGCACTGCCTGGAATTGATGTTTGTCACTGTTGCTCACATACCAGTGACCCACACAGGTCATGTGACAGCCTGTCTTGAAGGAGACAGGCCAGGCAGATCTGCAGGTTTCTCAGGTTTGTGAAGAGAACCAGAATCTTCTGAGCAGCACAGTACCCTGAGGAGGAAGGTCCTCCTGAGCCAGCTGGAATGATCTTAGTAGATACTGTTACAAATGGTAACTTTGCTGCCGCCTTCCCATTCTTCCTAGTTCAGTGCTCCTTACACCAGAATCATACAGAGACTCTGAAAGAAGAACACATGTATGAGCTGAGGATATTTTCATCTAGGCAGGTAGTAAACCACCATTTGTTCATTCATTCATTCAATGAGGATTTATTTACTAAGCACATAATTTTATGCCAGATATTGAGCACAGCATGATGGGAGGTATTCTATCAATGCTCACTGACCAAATGACTAAAAATATGGAGCAGGACTGATGGGTGGCTCCTGCGCGTCCAGTCAGGAGTCCAGAGGAAGAGATGTAACTGATTCACCCAAGAATAAAAATGAGTGGCGTTTGCTGTTGGTGAAGATAAAGGGTGAACAAGGCAATGTCCACGGACCTTGAAGACCTCACTGGGGACGCTGGAGCTGAACCTGGGCCTGGAGAAGGGCAGGCACACAGCCCTGGGCTGCAGAGACAAGGCTGAGCTACAGATAAAGTTCTGGCCGAGAGGTTCCCCTTTAGATTTTGTGTTTTGTTTTAATTTACTCTTTTCACTCTAATATAGCCACAATGGTAAAAATTTAGAACAGGAGCTGGAAAAATGTGATCTCGGTGTATTTTCATAAATAAGGTTTCACCTGGACAGTCACCTCTGTCCTGTAGAGTCCTCAGAAGCTTTGACACTAAAATGGTGGCACCGAGTAGTGCGTTGGTTGAGGACTGGTGAGTGCCATTGCTGGGATTGAGAGAGCAAAACCGTTATGGCTTGGCCTTCACAGACAGTTTGCTGAATCCCGTTCTGGCTGATGAACAGGAGCCTAGTTTCCTTACTGTCCTCAGGGCAAATGTCTTACCCCTCCTTCTCTGGGTTCTCTTGTGAGGTCTACGTTGGGGCTCTCTCTGTTACTCATGGAAGTCGCCTTCTCCTCCAGTTCTGGGGAGTTGCCCAAAGTTGTGGCTGGTCAGTGGATCGTAGTCACCTTATCCTGCGCACACCTGCTTTAGTCGCCAGTCATGCAGTAGACGCTCAATAAACACTGGTGGAAAACTTCTCCGTGGCCTCAGTAAAGAGAACTTTTATTATTCTTTTAGGTGAAGCTCTATTTTTAAAAGTGATTTCAGCTTGCTTGAGGACTTACTTTGTACGTGTCTCTCTGTGGTTGCTGTTTGTTCGACTTCTGATAATTACAGCATAATAGGTGGGCCCGGTGATTTCTTAACTGGATCCTGTTGGTCTTTGTGTAAATGATGTTTCATTTACATGGGTTCCAAAAAAAAGTAGAAGAGCTTTCTCCTTGTTTCTTCACCTTTTATCCTTTATCACGGTACCGTGGCTTTTCTTGTTAACGAACCCATAATATCTGTCTGAATTATCTTTTTCAAATAATAACTGTGCTTTAAATGTGACAATATGAATTGCTTTTATAATTCTAAATAAGCCATCTATTTTAAAACCGAGTTCAATGCTGATGATTTCTCTTTATTTAAAAAAAATAAATCACCAAGATTCAATTTGAAAACCAATTGTCTATGGAGGCACTAAAAATTATTTGGTCTATTCAAGTGATAATGTACAGTAAAGTTTATCTATTTTTAAATAGTTGAAATATTAATCCAGGAGAGAGCGTTTTCATAAAACAATTAGCACAAGATGCACGAGGGGTCAGGATGAGCATCTGGTTCTAAGAGCTCTGGGTTTTATTCATTATGATGCTGAATGTATTTAATATTCATTTTTACCATTGAAGATGGGCCTTGAGGCCAAAGCTTATGCATCATGTAGTTTATTCAAAGGAAGATTGTTATGCAAATCTGTAGCATATTTGGGGACTTTCCAGACAGAAAGAGAAAGTCTCACAGAAAAGAGTTTTCTTCAGAACCAGGGCCAGGTAGTGACCTCTGTTATTTCAGGTCCACACAGACCAGCTGTCTCACGCAACTAAGCTCCACTTAGCAATTTGGTTTCCTCCCTTAGGTTTGAAGGATTTCTCAGAGAGGGAAAGCACTTGGAAGGAATAAGAAGACATCTGGGTGTAGGAAATGATGGGCATGAAAAACCTTAGGGTATAAAACAAGGATACAAGCTCCTTTTCGCTTTCGCAGGGTGAGCCTTCGCTCACCCCCATGCACCCTGTACCCCGTGGGTAGCCACTCTCCTAATCCCTGTTTCCCAGAGGAATGTGAGACTTGGAGAGATGGGCTGTTTAATGCAGAATCACAATGAGGACTAAGAAGTGGCGCTGGCCCCCACTGGGCTAGCCTGCACTCCACAGTTAACTATCCTCAAATGGAAAACTCAAGGTAGCCTGTTGTGTGCGTCTCCCCCCACCTCAAACTGATCCCGCCCCCAACAACTGGAGGCCAAGGCCAAGGGACAAATGGCAGACTTCTATAAATGAAAGTTTTTGTTTGGGGATCTTTATTCCCCAGAGAGACCCCCTGAGAAACAGGCTGGTGGAGCTGCTTCCGTGGAAGGGGGTGGGGCCAGCAGAGTTCCTGCTGGGCATGGCCATTGTCAGGCTTCCAGAGGGGCCTGGGTTCCTTCTCTCTCAAGGTCAGTGGCCTGTCAAGGTTTCCAGGTCAGAGGAAGGCTGACCCTGGGCTGAGGATTTCAGCGCAGCATCTGCAAACAAGGGCTTCTTCTTAGAGGAGTACTGA